GGGTTCTTGGAAGGCGCAGAGCGCAATATCCCCCAGCTGGGAAGCGTAAGGTGCTGGGTCTGCCCGGCCGGCATCATTTCACCCGCCCTGTGGGGCTCCTAAGGGGGGAAAGATGGATTTTGCAGGGCGTTTCAACCAGACGCTAGTCCTGTATCACTCTAATGTGTGTTTTACCCATTGGGGTGTCCACAGGGGCACAACAGTTCTTGGAAGGCGCAGAGCGCAATATCCCCCAGCTGGGAAGCGTAAGGTGCTGGGTCTGCCCGGCCGGCATCATTTCACCCGCCCTGTGGGGCTCCTAAGGGGGGAAAGATGGATTTTGCAGGGCGTTTCAACCAGACGCTAGTCCTGTATCACTCTAATGTGTGTTTTACCCATTGGGGTGTCCACAGGGGCACAACAGGGGGGCAGAGCCCACCCTCAAAGCCCTACCAGCCTTTTGGGGGGGCCCCCATTGAAACCACTGCAGGACTCAGCACTTCTCACAGTCAGTGGCACCCTTACACTCATTTGAATAGTCAGAAGGTAGTAGGGTTTGGGTGTGTCTACGCGGCACCCTTACCTCGAAATAAGCTACGTACATTAAAATAAAGCGCTATTCGGAAACATCCCTTATTCCTCATGGAACAAGGTTTACAGGGACATCGAAATAGCGAGCCTGTTATATTTTGAAATAATGGGCTTGCTCAAAAGACACGGAACAGCTATTTCGGTATACTTCCAGTATCCCAAAATAGCGCCGCAGTGTAGACGTAGCCTTGTCAGCTGATGGTCAGGGCAGTGTGTGTGTTATGCACCCGAGTCTTCAACTGCTAGGACGCAAAGTCCCTTCACAGCGGGCGGCTGAGGGAAGGCCGACGGGCGCCCCAAGGGTCTGCAGGGAGAGCTTATTACACCCGAGTCTTTGACTGCTAGGACACAAGGTCCCTCAGCAGCAGGCAGCCTAAGGAAGGCTGACGGATGTCCCAAGGGTTTGCCTCGTGGAAGCAGCAGGGCCCAAACGCCCAGCTCTCACTGCGTCTGCCCCTATGACTGGCTGGAGTTCTTTTGATTGAGTTTGGCTCTGTTACAGCAACAGGAGGAGTTAGGTTAAAGCTTAAACAGTCACAGATTTATTGAAGAAAGATAGATGGTGCCCATGGCAGCTATTACTAGGAAAACCTCCAGGTCATCCATTTTTGTCAGCTTCAGTGGAAGACTCAGGGATGGGCTTGGGTTGGTGTGGCCTACTGCTGGACTCCCTGGTGGATTTGGGGGATGAAAGAGCATGGCCAGCTGCTGCTGTTAATCTCTTTGTTAATTCCCTGGTAAATTGTTGTTGCTGCAAGACTTGCTGCTGTTGCTGGGTGGCTAGCTGCTGGAGCAATTGGGTCTGCTGCTGCTGTTGACAGTGCTGCTGATCCACAACCTCACTCACCTTTCCACGGGGTCGCCTGTATTCACCAGCATGTTGTAGCGGAGGCCAGCAGATCTAAGGCTCAAGCCACAGTTAAACGGTCTCTCTGAATCTGGGAGAGTTGTTCCAGGCAGTGCAAGGTTCCAGTGCAAATACATTGACACACATCCCCTCCATCTCCAGAGTCCCCTGGAATCTCTCAGGCAGGCAAGGGACAAAGGGAAGGGTAGAGGGATCCAGGATCTCCCTCTCTACCAGATCCTGGCCCAGTGTTCAAGGGGAGAGAGGTGAGAAGTGGCTCAGTTCCTTCTGGCTGCTATTCCAGATCAGGCTCCCCTGGGCAACTTCTTCCCTTTCCTGTGTTTTCCCTTCAGCTTTCTCTTTGCAGCCACAAGGAATTCCCAACTCACTTTGGGTATGTCTACACTACCCCGCTAGTTCGAACTAGCGGGGTAGTGTAGACATACCCATACAGATACAATTTTTACCCTTTCTGCGTCCCTCGATTCCAGCGTGTCAGGCCAGGACCGGTCACTCAATTCCCCGGGAAAGACGAATACGAGGCTGGGCATCCCCATGTGAACCTCGGGAGGCAATCACCTAACCCGACAGGTAGATGGTAGATTGATGCTCAGAGTGAGTGTGTTGCTGGACCCATCTTTATACCCGTGGTGTCACGTATTCTCTTTCTTATCTATGGTGCCAAATTGTGCTGGTTCGTCTTTGTGACGCCAGTTCTTACAAGGGAGTTGTGAACTTAATTTACACGTGTAAGAGAGATAACTAAATTGGGAGTACTGGACATTCTTTTCTCAGCGGGCGATTCTCCGACCCCCCCATACACACGCCTTCCCCTGGGGCCAACTCACCCCTCCTGTAGCACAGGGAAGCTGCCACGCTCCTTCTCCGGGGCCAACGCCCCTCCCGCAGTGCGCCCAGCACACCACAGAGCTGTGGGAAGGGAGCAGCCAGCACACCTTCAGAACCCCCAGAAGTGGCGCAAAGCTGCAGGACTTCTGTCCACCCCACGGGAAGCCAGCACTACCTCCATTGTCACTGGAGGTACGTAGTGGGGCTTCTCGGGGTTGGGGGGAAAATGAGGGGGGCCAAACACCTCACGATCGACTGGTTGGTGACCACGGATCTAAGTTATGCAACTTCAGCTATGTGAATAAAAACGTAAACCTACTTACTATGGAGTCTTCACTGCACTATGTTAATGAGAGATGCCCTCTCATCGACTTCCCTTCGGCTTCTCATTGAGGTGGAGTACTGAGGTTGACACTAGATCAATTGACGGTTGATTTATCAAGTATAAATCAACCCTACTGGATCGAACACTGCCCGCCGATCCAGCTGGTAGTGTGACATAACCTTAGATAGTTATGTCGATGCGGTGTCAGTGTAGGCACTGTGGTGCTTACATCAACTGTTGCTGCCTTTCAGAAGCTGTCCCACAATGCTCCACACTGAGCCCTGGTCTACACTAGGGAGTTATTTTGAAATAACAAGTGGAGAGTCCACACTACCAAGCCCGTTATTTCAAAATAATGGGCTGATTATTTTGAACTAATAACTTCTGCTTGTCATGAGGAATAATGCTTATTTCAAAATAGTTATTGCAAAATAGCGGTAGTGTGGATGTTCCGATGCTGCTATTTCAAAATAATTACTTCCCAGACTCATTCAAAGTAATTACTCTCCAGTGCTTTCTGGGGCTGTAAATTGAGGTTACACACCCACAACCTAGAGCCCTAGGGAGCCTGCCTTGGACTAATTTCAAGGCTTCCCTGTAGTGTGGACATGCTATTTTGAAAGTTATTTTGGGAGTTATTTTGAAATAAGTTATTTTGAAATAATTTCCCAGTGTAGAGATACCCTGACAGATCAGTGCAAGAACTCCTGCTAAGGATGCACTACAACAAGGCTAGGAGTGTAGTGTGGACATGCAAAAGTGATTTCATGTCTGTGACAACTGTATGTTAACTTAATTTAGGTCAATGTAATTTTGTAGTGCAGACATTTCCTAAGAAATGCTTTTTTTGCAGCTGACTTTTTTTCCAATGTAAAATGGACTAAAGATGTAAACAACTAATCGATTAGTCGACTATCCAGTAAGCAAAAGCTTATCAGATAGTTGATACACTAGTTGACTAGTCACTTCCCCCAACTTGCTGCCTCTATCAGAAAGAGGCAGCAAGGGGGGAAGACAAGGGGATGCTGTGGGGGAGCCAGCTTAAAAGCCTGTCCCCCCCCCATCTCCAGCTCCTTGTGGAATGCTGCACTAGTCCTTATCAACTTATCATCAAATAGTCAATGGAAATCCCATTGACTATTTGATTAGTTAATTAATCGAAATTTAATATCCCTAAAATGGACTATAGTGTAAGAATTACATTTCCTTGCACTTGTCATCTCACCAATCAACCTGTGGAACTCATTGCCAGGATACACTGTGAAGCCCAAAACCATAACAGGGCTCAGATAAGAGTTAGATTAGTTGGAGGATAGATCCATCAATAGACCACTGATCTGACCTAGTACCTTTTGTTCCTATCCCCTATTATTCCAGTTAATTAGCCAGAAATGTGTCTTTGCTTATAAAAAACGTGTTTTCTAGATCATAAAAATCTTTAGAAAATTAGGGAAGTGTTATTGCTCCCATTTTACAGAAAGAGAATCTATGGGCACAGATAGATTTATGTGATTTATCCACGGTCACATGGAAAGTCTATGGCAGAACTAGAAATAAAAACCAGGAATTACTGTAAACTGAAAAGGCTCTTAACAGCATAATAATACATTGCACTATAAAGGGTACCATACACTACTTGCACAATATTAGATGTCAGAGATTATCAATACAGTCCAAAAGCCTTAAACAGAGGGAGTTTATCCTTCCAAGGGTTTACCAGGAAGTACTGGTACACCAGTATTTTTTTAAAGTTCCTACTTAGGAAGAAGTGAGTCACACACAAGATGTAGTGGCAGTCTCTCTCCTCCAAGGCTTCCAGAATAGATGCTAATCTCATGTCTTTTACCTACTGAATAATCTGTTTTATGGGACTGACCAGAATAAGTCCTTAGACCCCTAAAACTGCCATCATTCAAGTTCTATTTGTGCCTCACAACCTTATTTAAGATCCCAACTTCACACTTCCTACTGGTGGGTGGGTTTAAGATATCCCAGGAGAAAGTTATCTATTTACATTACAGATTGATTCTGGATCTAGCAGACATTCTACTGTACACTTCTGTTTGATTTTGTGCCTATTGCTGTCTCTGGTTTTTCTGAGAGGGCTAAATCCACACTCACCTCTCGAATACAGTATTTGCTATAAATATGCTTGCATATGTAATATTGTATAAGTAGTTGCGGCAGGGCCTTCTATATACATTTATTTGGCAAGTCAAGTTTCCTTTCTAAACTGGATGATGTTATGAGCATTTTTCAGAGCTTCCACCTCACTCTAACCAGAGTTTCAAGTTTCCTCAGTTTCAAATGAGTGGCAAGTCTGCCACATGCAGTCAGCCCAATATAAGACACCTGACATCAGATTTGCAGAAGTGCGATGTACGCATGACTTAAACGGAAATTCTTTGGAGCTGTGCTTTCAAACTTATAAAGTGATAGAAAATGCAATATACTCTGAACAGAGTCAGGCCTTAGGTGTATTACAAAATTAATGGTTAATTTTTATCTGATTTTCTATAATTAGATTCCCCCTTAGAAAATAGAGATGCCACCTTACCTTGTGAAGATTAATTAAAGTTTATGAAGCACTCAGATGCTATAGCTGAGAATACCATACAAATGTTCATGTAAAAATTAATATTTTTCTGTAGCCAGAATGAGGTTAGAATAATATACAGTGAATAAGGCCTAAAGCCACACAGCAAATTAAGAGAACCAATTTGTTCTCTAAGCACTGAAGACACAAGTGCTATGGGGAAGAAAATAGGATGCATTCATGTAATTAAGATGGTATCATAATACATACATAAAAGGGGACTTTGTTAAGATTGATAAGGCAATTGCAGTTTTGGCATTTCCTGACTTTGCAACCTTAATGTTATTTTAACCTTATTTTTATGATGCAATTTCATTTTCATCAATGTTTTTTCCAGCCAGCTTTGTCTCTGACTCACTAGCTGTCCTCTGCATGTACTTTTGGTGAGTCAGGAAAGCAGGCTGGTTAGCAGGGATATTGGGTTGGTTCTATAGAAATAGCAGATGTGTGTGGGCAGGGAGCCAGACAGACAAAGCAGGACCTGAGGGTTATATGAGGTTGAGTTGTGATTTGGAGAACATCAGAGTGGTTCTGTATGTGTGTGTGTGCGTCTGTAGGTGTCACAAACTAAAGATACTTTTTGGGGAGTAATAATGTAGTTGTGCAGGCAACCTGATATGAACGGAGCCTCATATCTCTACATGGGTACAGCAAAGGCTTCTCATGTTATGGCCACTAGTGCTGGGCAAATAATGGATGGTTCAGACCACTGGCAATTAAAAAATCATGTGAAGTGAATAGAAAAACTATTTTTCTAACATTTTGGTGTATCAAAAAGAAAAATATTTGGGGGTGGTTTTTTGTTTTTAACAAAATCAGAAATTTCAGTTTAAAGTTTTCATTGTTTTTGGATTGTTTAATAACAGAAGACAAAGCTTTTAAATTAAAAGTTACTTTGATTTGCAAAACCAAAATGTTTTGTAAGTATCAAAATGCTAGTTAATGTTGTGTATAATTGTTTGTTTGATGGCATGTGCCAAAGGCAAGATGAATTCACAGCATTCTTATCACTGAACCTGCCTTTTTTTCACCAAAAAATGGTAGTATAAAAATAAAGTCACCCAGCTCTAGCTGCCACCTCAGCTCCCTCCACACACCAGTGCAGCACTGCCATGGAGGGCTCCTCCTTCCGTGCTAATGCCTCAGAACAGAAGCTGGTGCAACACTTTCCCCACCTCCAGCACTAGGCAACAATGCCAAAAGAGTCAAGTTTCTGCATGGGTGCATGAGAGAGATTCCTTCAGTAGTGAAGGGCTAAGTGCATAGGGGAACAGAAATGGTGTTGTTGAAGAATCCCTTTAAAAAGGCGTGTCCCTCAGAGCTGAGGCACAGGGTTTCTTCCATGCAAGCCTCTTCTTCTTAGAGGCTTCTGTGCTCTCTCATGTTGCTCCATAAGATGGTCCCTGGACGCAGGACCCTCTTCCCCTCCACACACTTTAAACAAGTCTCCAAGTTCTTCAGGCTTTACCCAAGGTCATTCCACATAGATTCTCCTCTATTCGCACAACCCCACAACCTCCAGCACATTTACCTTTCCTTGATTCTGATCTTTTCACTCAAATAATTTCCCACAGACAAGTCACCAATAGGATTCTGGGTCCTCACGGGATACACCTTTATAGGAACTCTCCAGCCAAACCTGCACTCCAGGCTCAGTCCCACTTCAGCTTTCTTCCAATAAAAACAAACCATTGCAAACACTAGCTGTATCTCCTCAAACCAGGCCAGTCCATTCAGCTTCCTCTCTGACAGTTATTTCAGATGGGTTAAAGTGCTGGCTGCAGCTCAGTTAACTCACTTAATTCTTTCTTATCCAGAATTAGAGTTACTGATGACAGGGTGGGTATGTTAGGCACACTGCCAGCATATTACTGTCCACCCTCCACACAGTTCCTTCTCTCTGCCACATATCCCCCTTTGCAAATTGAGCTGTTTCAACATTTCTTTCCTGTCTCTGTGTTAGTATGTATCAACACTGATTCATATACTCAGGAATTCATATACATAGGGATACAGTTAAACACCGATACATGGGAAAATATCGCATTTTAGGGGTTTAAGCATCAGCTTAAAAACAGAGCATGATAGGAAAGCAGAAGGAATTGGAAGGGGTGGGCTATGGGGGAAGCATGTTTTGAAGTGAAGAAATTAGGAGAATTGGGAAGCAGAACTGTCAGGGAAACATGGAGACAAGTGGATTAGTGTATGAGGTCCCAGCACAGAATACAGAAAGGGGGCTTGAGTGATAGGGTGTATCTCTCTCTCTCTCTCTCTCTCTTTCTCTCTCTCTCAGGGTATGTCAAGACTGCAGAGTCCAAGTAATGCATCTGCTTTTCCGGAAAAAAAAAATCGGAAAAGCAGATGCATTTTTTGGCATCCCCATAAACCTCATTTACGAGGAAGACGGGATATTCCAAAAGAATCTTTTTTCCCAACATTTGGCCCAGTGTAGATGGGCCAAATATCGGAAAAGCCTCTTTCCAGAGAAAAGGGGGAAAAGATACGCAAATTGCACTTTGCAATTTGCGTTTCTTTTTCTGACTTTTCCTTGTAGTCTAGACACAGCCTCAGTGTTGACAGCAGTTCCATATGAATAATTGTCAATGTAGACACTTATTAAGAAAATGGAGAAAATTCTCCTTCAAAGAAAAGAAAAGAAAAGAAAAGAAAAGAAAAGAAAAGAAAAGAACTTTCCTTAACTATAAGTTATTGTGCCTAGGCTGCATATTCCAATTTCACCAATGCTCACTGTAATAGCAAGGAAGTAAGCCACATAGTTATTCTTTTTGTCTAAAGTCCACTAATACTGTGACCTTCTACTATATATGGAAGCACTTGTTCAATGACAAAACTTGGGTAAACGATCCTCTTTCTTGAAGAAAAGAGAAGAGATCAGCTTTTTGGAAACTACTCCTTCTGAGGTTGCATCTCTACATCTAAAGATAAAATAGGGTTTTATACGTGTAAAGCTACAAATATATATTTATTTACTGGAAGAAAAACGTATATAGCCATACTAAAGAGAAGAATGAACTTCATTGTTTTATGACATCACCAATGATAAAACAATCCATCTGATCTATGACCTTTATCACTGGTGCTATAACAGCCTAAATTTTTCAGCATGTCTTCTGGCTAACAAGAACATCTGGTGATGGTATTTTAAGCCCTGAAATGTCCTGGTATAACAGTTAACAACTAGTACTCATTTTACAGATTGTCTAAATGACCAGCCCAAAATCATTCAGCTGGTCAGTGGCAGACATAGGAATAAAAGCTGTAACTCCTGATGTTCAGTCCCTTCTTCAACTCTGAGGTAAGACTCCTTCTGTAAATTATCTAAACTAAGTAAAGATCCACTATCAAATTTATTCTACCATTTTTGTTTTATTTCGATTTCCAATTTGCCAATTTCTTTTAAAAATGATGTCTTTTGAAAAAGTAAACTGTATTATATGTCTCTCTGTTCCTATTTGTTGCTTAAGAAATGTGTTATTTTATTTAACAGAAAAAAATATTAGCATAGGCCCCAATCCTGCAAACAATTATTCCCTGGAACTCTTCAAGGAACTAAAGTTAAGCATGTGTGCAATTGTTTGTAGAATCAAAGTTTTAATGTGCAGTACAGCTTAATTTCTCTGAAATATATTACAGAAAAAGGATCATTTTTATCCTAGATTTTATATGAAATATATTAACAGTGACATATTAAGCAAAGATTAATGGTTCACTTTATACTGTCATGAATGGAGATGTTCTGAAACTTATGGGGAACTTTTCTGATTTTCAACTATTATATTTTTAGAGAACAACCACAGAAAATAGCTTGTTGTGTTTACTTCTCAAGAGAGCGGACATTGTGACCAGAAAAAATAAGCAATGACATTTTTCTGTGAATGATGATGGAATGAAATCAGAGTTCCAAATGTCCATCTACCTGACTGATAAGACAAGAAGAACTGTGACCCTCTCATGCAAATCATGAATAGATCTACTAAGCACATACTCAAATTAGATTGTCAGGTAAGAAAATATTGCTCTTTCTAAATGACTTGCTAAGGCAGACGGCTTTAAGAAACAACTGCTTCTGAAGATGTACAATAGAATCCCTATTTTACAAACAAAATGGGGACCAAGAAGTTCATAAAATAGAAACATTTATACAATTAAACATCTCAAGATTACAAAAGTAAGGTGTATAAGCTGCAATGTGGTGCATTCCCCACCTCTGTTCCTTTAAACCATAGCAAAGTGATGTGTAATGCACTGAGGGCTTAGAAACATGAAGGGATGTTATTCTTCATCAACCTAACTTCTTTTTCGTAAATTCTGTTTGGATAAATATAGTTCATATAACTGGCTGTTCATATGATTATTGTTCATAAAATTGAGATTCTCTTGCATTTATTGAAGAAAACATGCTATCTTGAAAAAGAAATATTCCCTATTCTCAATAAGAAATATTTAGGATAAGACATCATGTCTACATTCTTTCAGAGTAGAGACCAAATAAATGGGACAAGATGGATATACTATCATTCTCTTGATAATGCTGACCCCTGTGTTTCAGAACAATCTTCCCGGAACACCTCATATATAGAGTACATTAAACAACCTGGAATATAGGGCTGATTCTTGGGAACTGCCATATTTTAAATTTATCAGTGGTGATATGGAAGAATCTGGCCCATGGGATTTGATGTATAGCTTGGGAATTGCATCATATAATGATTAAGTAACTAGAAAACATTGATGCAGGACTGTTCTAGATATACCAGCAATATCCCCTACTGACTAACTCAATATATGCTGCAGTCCCTAAGTAACAGGCCAAATTCTGCCCTGAGATCCAAGTTCTGCTCCCATCCTCACCATTGAGAATCCTACATACACATTCAAGGGCATAGTTTGACTTTATGGGATACATGAGCTGAGAATCAGCCTTAGATTTGAATGGTATATGATTATAGTTATAATAATTTTCTTTCCTATCTCATTTTTTATCATTACATCTGCAATCTTTTAAATCCTGTGGCTGTGTCTAGACTGGCAAGGTTTCCGCAAAAGCAGCTGCTTTTGTGGAAAAACTTGCCAGCTGTCTACACTGGCCACTTGAATTTCCGCGAGAACATTGACTTCCTACTGTCTGAAATCAGTGCTTCTTGGGAAATACTATGTTGCTCCAGTTCGGGCAAAAGTCCTTTTGCGCAAAGCTTTTGTGCAAAAGGGCCAGTGTAGACAGCTCAGATTTGTTTTGCGCAAAAAATCCCCGATCACGAAAATGGCGATCGGGGCTTTTTTGCAGAAAAGCGTGTCTAGATTGGCACGGACGCTTTTCCGCAAAAAGTGCTTTTGCAGAAAAGCGTCCGTGCCAATCTAGACTCTCTTTTCCGCAAATGCTTTTAACGGAAAACGTTTCCATTAAAAGCATTTGTGGAAAATCATGCCAGTCTAGACGTAGCCCATTAGTGGAATTATATACTGTTAATATGTTTTCTTGAAGTGTCTTTTGAATAAGTAATTTTTAAAAAATTAGTCCTTCATCTGGCCCAGAGCAGTATGATCTGATCAACCAACTAGTCAACTGACTTTCATAACAAGTTTGGGAACCTGGAATCCAAAAGATGAATCTGATTAATACAGATTAAAAATAATAGTGTAAGAAAGGCTTAGAGAACAAGGGAAGATTACAGCATCACTGCTCCTGTTTTCATTGTAATATCTGTAAATCCGAAGTCATTCAGTGGCACTGTAATTAATTTTTAACTTCATGCAGGTGTGGCACTTAATTCTCTTGATATGGATTAAAGTGTTGCCTCTATTGTACAAAATCATATCATCCAGCCATTTAACAAAAATGAGTGAAATTCACCATTAAATTATTTCTTTTTGTAGCAAATGTATGATTTTTATTTACAGTTGTCTGTACAATTGGAAAAACAATTTCCCCCTCTTTTCCCCCTCAAACATTGGCATGTTGCAGTGGCATGCACAGGCAGAACGAGTTAGTTAATTTTCAATTAAGTCATTTTTGGTCTTTTTAAATAATTTCTATCATTAAAAAAAGCTATACTGGTTTTAACTAGCTTGTGCCCTGTGACCTAAGGCATGACAATCCTTTTTTGTTTTGTTCTTTTTTCTAAGTGAAATGGCGCTTTGAATGAGTCCTCTATGGAGTCCTTCTGAGCTCTTTTTTCATCCTGGTCGATGAAGATCTAAAATAGTTGACACAAGCACATGGATGCGACAGGTTGGACAGGTGGGCTTCTTTAGCAGCCACTTTCCGATACACTGTTGGAGGAAAATATTATGGGAAAGAGAAAGTTAGCAATCCAAACTTGTTGCACTGACAGTCAAGTATGAGGAATTTTGAGAGGCATGACTGCTAAATTCCCATACATTATTAAAATTTTGATCTAAAATTTTTAAAAAACAGCATAAAAACCCATGTCTATGGTGAATCACAGAATATAGGTCTGGAAGGGAACTCAAGAGTTTATCAAGTCTAGCCTCCCGAGGTAGGACCAACCAAATCTAGATAATCTCACCCATCCTCCTTGAGTTTCTCCATAAATGCTGTGATTGGATTCATTTCTGCTTGAATTGAAATGATTTCAGTAGGATCAGGATCGGGTTCAATTTTAATTTTTTCAGGAGTATAAGAACCTTAATAGGTCTGGAAGGGAACTCAAGAGTTTATCAAGTCTAGCCTCCCGAGGTAGGACCAACCAAATCTAGATAATCTCACCCATCCTCCTTGAGTTTCTCCATAAATGCTGTGATTGGATTCATTTCTGCTTGAATTGAAATGATTTCAGTAGGATCAGGATCGGGTTCAATTTTAATTTTTTCAGGAGTATAAGAACCTTA